CTAAACTTTTCCTATGTAATGTCTAATTTGCCATTAATCCCATACCTTATGTTTTCAAGGAATTGTAGTTTTCATCCCTAAAAGTTCTATTAGAGTTTTAAAAAATGTCTTTTGTGATTCTATTAACTTTTTAACATACAGAGTATAATAACTTCTGTGCTAATTCTAAATTGTGTAAGTTCTGGGTTGGTTTATTAAACTGATTATTCTCCTTGCTATGGGTTGTGTTTTCTTGCCTCTTTGAATGTCCGGTCATCTTTGATTAGATGCCAGACAGTGTGATTTTATCTTTTTGAGTGCTGGCTATTTTTGCATTCCTATAAAAATTTGTTGCGCTGGGCACCTGGGTGGCTCAGCGGGTTAGTCCTCTGCCTTCAGCTCAGGTCACGATCTCAGGGTCCTGGGATCGAGCCCCACATCCTGCTCTCTGCTCAGCAGGAAGCCTGCTTCCCCTTCTCTCTCTGCCTGCCTCTCTGCCTACTTGTGATGTCTCTGTCAAATAAATAAAATCTTAAAAAAAATTTTTTTTTGTTGTGCTTTATTCTGGGATGTGGTTAAATTGCTTCAAAACACTTTGATATTTTGGGTTTTTTTAAAATAGGATGTTAGGTGGGTCTGGAGCAGTGACCAGTCTAGAGATAATTCCCATCTCCAAGGCACAACCTTCTTAAGAATGCTACCCAGTGCTGTTGAATTATGAATTTTTCCAGTCTGGCTGGTGGAAAACAACACTATTCCCAATCTGTGTGAGTACCAGGCAGTGTTTTCTCTAATCTTCTTGAATGGTTCTTTCTGTAGCCTTTGGAAGTTCTCCCCTCCCCCACACTAGTGCTAGCTGAAATGCTGCTGGATACTCACTCCAGGGGGATCCCCTGCAGATCTTCAGGGTTCTTTCTCTGTGCAAGGTTCAGGTTTAGAGCAGATGGCAGGCAGAGAAACACAAGAACTTCCCGGCAAGGACTGTGACCTTTGTCCAGTGTACATGTAATAAATTTATCAGAACTGAAATTGGGGGGGGGCATCAAGAGACAACAAATGTAGAATTCTCAAAGGAGGTGTAGGATTACCATATGTAGGCTGTCACAGAAATGCATGAAAACCTGTCCCACACTCTGGAATAAAAGGTGTGTCTGATGACATGGTCCTGCTGGGGTGTGGAGCAAGGGGCACACCTTCCTTTACCTGAAACCTAGGGAGTATGGCTTCCTAGGGATTGCTCAGAGAACTTAAGATGTGGCCCTCCCTTGGGGCCATCATGGACTGGGAATGGATTCCCAGCCAGGGAGGGAGGGCTCATGAGCTGCTTTGGAGGTAGAGTATGCTTTCGTGCTGGGACCTGCCTGCTCCTGAACATCTGTACAGCAAAGGATGCAAGAGTGTTTTCTGGGGACAGATATGAGTCATGGGGATGGGTCATCTTAGGTTCTGTCTAGTGGTCCCCACTGAGGGGTAGAGGGTCCCCTGCAGCCATGCATGAAGTAACACCCACCCAGAAAAGTGATGACATATCGCTCAAGAGAGGGAGCAGCAGGAGCCTGTGAATATCCCCAGGCACGAAGGGGTCGGCTTACACCCTGCCAGACCGGAGGCGGGACTGCAGCCTCCCATTGCCCGGGAAGTGGCTGCAGGTGGGTGGAAGCAGGGCCAGGCTAGCAGGGGCTCAGGAAGGAGCAGGGCAGGCACCAAGCACAGCCCCCGTCCCCAGTGCTTATCTCATGCCCCTCAAGCAGGGTGCAAAGGGAAGATGTTGAGTTAAATCAAGTTCCGAGGTGTCACTCTGCAAGCCTGGGCACTGATTCCCAAACTGAGTCACTTCAGCTTGAACTTACCGTGAGCGGTGTCCTTTGCAGGGTATTGAGCACAATGCTGGGCTTAGCCTGACTTGCTGCGCTGCACAGTCCAGAAACCCAGGGGAGCCCAAGTAGGAGCTTATTGTAAGGATACTGCTAGGGACTGAGGATGTCCCCAGAACTCATATGCCGAAATCCTAACCCCCAATGTGATATATTAGGAGGTGAGGACTTAGGGAGGTCATTAATGGGATTACTGCCCCATCAGAGGACAAATATCTCTTTCTACCACGTGAGAATACAGCAAGACAGCCTTCTATAAACAGGAATGGGGCCCTCACTCGAACGTGACCATGCTGGCACCCTGATTTTGGACTTCTAGCCCCCAGAACTGTGAGAAATACATTTCTGTCTATAAGCTACTCAGTCTACGGAATTTTGTTATAGCGGCCTGAAGTTATTAAGACATATACAGGGGAACTTCGTGGGTGCCTGAAGACACCGGGATTCTCTGGTCTGGAGGACCCAAGACCGCTCTATCCATCAGCTGGTCACAGAGCCCCTAGTCTCTGAAATAGTAATTGTAATGCATTCCACTTACCAATGTGAGCATTTACTAAGAGCCTAGAACTGTTCAAAGTGCACAGTGAATGTTCACTCATTTAGTACTTTCAGAAACTCACTGAAATACAGGGTAGGTCTTACAGTTGTTCTCTTCCTGAGACTGAGGCAGAGATTTCTAGTCTTCAGAGTAGTGGGCAAGACCTACTGGTACCCATGGTGCCAAATGCTGACCCAGAGTATAGGGTAAACTGCGACCTGACTCAAGTCAGCGAGTGAGGCCAGGCTGGGCTGAAAGGCAGTGCTCTAACAGCTTCGGGTTAAGCAGACAAAATGAAGGTGGTCAGGGCGGGGATTTGAAGGGGGAGGTCTTGGCAAGTGCAAAGGCAGAGGCTGGAGGGAGCAGAAACAGTGGGAGCAGCAAGGAGATCAGTGACACTGCAGTCAGAGACTGAAGAGAGGAAGACCAGGGTGGGAGAGTGGAGCAAGGCAGGCTGAGCCTGCTGGGTCTGAAGACGAGAGAGTATGTCCTCCAAACGGGGGCAGTGGGGGGATGGACACTGTTACACTTCCACTGAGACAAAGAATGGGGACCATTCCGGAAAAACTGGCATCCTATCACCCTACTTAAAAGCAAAGGTAAAGAGCTTGGTGTTTAGGGGCGCCTGGGTGGCTCAGTGGGTTAAAGCCTGTCTTCCGCTCAGGTCATGATCCCAGGGTCCTGGGATCAAGCCCCGAATCGGGCTCTCTGCTCAGCGGGGAGCCTGCTTCCCCTCTCTCCCTGCCTGCCTCTCTGCCTGCTTGTGATCTCTCTCTGTCAAATAAATAAATAAAACCTTTAAAAAATTTTTTGGTGTTTATCCTAAAACCAGTGGGAAGTCTCTGGTTTGGAGCCACGTGGTCTGGTCACCCCTACCTCCTCCCAATTAAAGTTGAGGTATCATACATACAAAATGAACAAATATTTAGAGTACAGTTCAGATTTAAAAAAATAAGTATGTACTGATCCGTCCCCAGGTGGTCTGATCAAGATACAGAATGCTCCTAGCCCCCAGTTCATAATCCACCCCTAGTAACATCTACTCTGATCTCTAACACCAAGATCGTTTCTGCCTGCCTTTTAAAGATTAAGGTATAACATATACAGAGTACAGTTTGAAGAACGTTACTTATACCTACCCCTGCATAACCACCACCCACATAAAATTATACGACACTTCCAGCAGCCAGGAAACTCCCTCCTACCCGTTTCCAGCCACTCCTCCCTCCAAGAGGTAGCTCCTATTCTGATTCCTATTTCCATACGTTAGTTTTGCCACAGGCTCCTTCGGTTTTCCGTCTACACATCTCTATCTGCTCTACCTCCTTGCCCGGGATCTGCTGAAGCCCCTCACCCTACCCGCTTCCTAGGGTTAGGCTTCCCAAGGCCTTGCACCCTCCCGCCCAGCTCTCAGCCACCCCGTGGCCTCAGTGACATCCCGTGAGCTCCAGGCGGCCCCGCTGTCCTGCCGCCAAGGGTCTGTTCGGGTGGGGGTGTTCTCCCTCACCCTCCTTACCCCGCCACCCAAATAAACCAACAAGCTCACTGACGCGGCGACTCGCTAGGCAAACCCGGCCTGGAGACAGCCGGCCGCTGTCCACCAAACTCCCACCCGAAGACATTTGCTTGCAGTTGGAGAGAGCTGCACAGCGAGTCTTAAGTAGCCACTGCGGGGCACCCCGAATTCACGAGGGGCTGGGTGGCCCCCGGGTCGCCGCTCTGCAGCGGCTGCAGCCAGTCCGAGCCTCGGGCTCCCGTGGAAGCCCGGCAGGGCCCCGCTTCCCAAGGCTGCTCCCAGCTCCGACGCGCCACGGTTTTAAACCAGAGGGTCACGCCGCCGAAGCCCCCCCGCCTCCCCGAAAACACCGGGTTCCCTTAGACTCCCGATGCGTGCGCGAGCACGAGCCCCGCAACCGCGGGACTGGTCCGCGAAGCGTCCCGCACGCCGCCCGGGCGCCCTTTGCGCACGCGCGGGCGCACAATCTCGGCGGCGCACTGGCCGCGCGCTCGCCCCGCCCCCGCCTCCCGGCCTTCCCAGCTTCCCGGACTCCCTACGGCAAGCGGCGAGGTCCCATCCCGCCGGGAGCCTGGAGCCGGGAGCGCAGGGGCGGGGCGGGGCGGGGCGGCGCGCTGAGGTCAGCGCGGCGGCGGCCGGCCCCGCCGTGGTTGGCTGCGCCCGCGCTGGCCGCGCCCTGGTTGGCTGCGGGCCGCGGGGCTGGGCCGCCGGGTCGGGGCTGGGGTCGGGGCTCGGGCGCCGGCCGGGCTTACGCTGCTGCGTTCGGCTCCGCGCCGCTCGGGGTCGGCGGCTGGCGGCGAAGGCGGGGAGGGCGCGGCCGCGGGCGGGGCTGAAGGGCTAGCGGCGGGGCGAGGCGAGGCGAGGCGAGGCGAGGGCGGGCAGCGCCGGGCGGGGCGGGCGGCGGCGCCGAGGGGAGGAGACCGGCCCATGGACCCGCGGGGCCCGGCGCCCCAGACGCTGCGCCGCCGGGACCGAGCCCAAGATGTCTGCCTAGGCCGGGACGCGACGACGCGGACGGGGCGGCGACGAGGCGCCGCAGCTGCCGGGGCTCGCGGCCGCCGGGCCCCCGAGGGCTCGCCCTGACGGACTGGCCGAGCGGGCGGCGAGAGTCCGGCGCGTTGGGAGCGGGCCGCGCGGCACCATGTCGGCCAAGGTGCGGCTCAAGAAGCTGGAGCAGCTGCTCCTGGACGGGCCGTGGCGCAACGAGAGCGCCCTGAGCGTGGAGACGCTGCTCGACGTGCTCGTCTGCCTGTACACCGAGTGCAGCCACTCGGCCCTGCGGCGCGACAAGTATGTGGCCGAGTTCCTCGAGTGGGGTAAGTGCGCGCGCGGCGCCGGCCTGCGCCTCCGCCCCCTGGCCTCGCCTGCTCTCCGGCCTCCCCGAGCCCCCGGCCCGCCGCCCGCTTCCCCTCGGGCCGCTCCTCGCGCCCTCGTCCCTTCGCGGCTCTCGGCCCTCCCTGCCCTCCGCCTCGGCCCTGGCGCGTCCGCGTTCGGCCGTCCCGCCCCCTCATCCTGCCCCTGGGAGCCACATCCTCCGTTCCCACCCCCACTCGCTCCCCGCCGCCGGCCAGAGCCCGGGCCGCTTCCTAGATCCACCCTCCCGAGTCTGGATATCATTTCCTGCAGCACTCCCCGGGAAATCCGCCCCCGCCCCTCGCTCCGGGGTCCAGAGTCGGCGTCGAGGCCCCCCCGCACGCCCTGATGGCCTGTGGGGGCTGCCGCGTGTGGTTTTTACCTCTGCGCGCCGCCCCCCCCGCTCGGTGGGCCCCCCATCTGCGTGCGCATTTCCGGGAAGCCCGGTTCTCTCGGACCCTCCTAGGTGACGGCCTGCGGCATGCCCTGGACGTCCAGGGCTTCAGCGCCCTTTACTGTAGCAACTCCAAGGGAGTTTTCCGGTGAAAAGCCTTGTTTTGCAAGAACAAATTGGGTTTCTTCGTAATTGCGCTGGTCTCTTGTAATAGGTGGGGGCAGCTGGACTGTCAGTATGTGGGAGTCGTTTAGAAACTTCGTTCATCTGATCCTTGCATGCCTGCTCTGGTTTATTCTGTAGCTCTCCAAGCATTGATCCGCTCACCTGTTTTGCTTTATGAGGACTAAAGTCTGATTAAGCCATTCGATGATCATTAGAATCCCGGAGACAGCTACAGGTGTAAAGGGAGACCCTTTTGATTCCTCTCTAACATGGGCGTCCTGTCCAGACCCTCAGACTCACTGGAACGACTTAGTAGGTAAATGCAGTGCTCATGGTCAGGCAGACCTAAGAAAATCTTATCCTGGGGTGGTTGCATCATTGGGCTAGGGCTGTGCAGTTTGAACCAGTAATTTCTAATCTTTGAGACTGATAAAGCTGATATTTACAGGAAGAAGCAAATGTATCCTGAGGTGAGGCCTCCTACTTGGCCAAATGGTAACTGGAATTTGAGATTCTGTTTACTAATTAAAACTTAAGTTGAGAGGGTTTGCTTTTTGCTCTCTAGTGAGATGTTTTGTAAGAGCAGCAGGAGAAAGGCAACTCAGAGCCCAGGACAGCCCTTTATGCTTTATTCTGGTAGGGACCACTGTGCTTGGTCGTACGCGGTATCTGTGAAATGTGGGCCTTCTCTTTCTGGGATCCTTTACCGGATGTGATTCTCAACCAAATAATTAACTCAGTTTCACAGTTGCAGAAAGCGAGGTCTTTGGTGCTTGTTACATCTGAGCCTTCTGGATATTGTATTTGCCTTTCCTTGCTGAGCATTGATGTTGAAATCCAGATGGTTCCACAATCGGGTTCAACTCTGTGCACAGTGTGCGGGTAGGAGTGTGACTGAAAGGAGAAGCGGAGGGAGGGTTGCTGTAGTGGTGAGGTGTGGCCTCTGTAGGCTGAAGTCTGACAACCGGACACTCTGGTTCCTGTGTAGCCCCCTCCCTGCCAGACTGTGCCGGCCACTCTGTGACCTGGTGGGTGTCACCGGAGCAGGCTCTTCTCAGTGTGGGTGGAGGTCTTATTTTATGAGATTTGACCTTTTCAAATGGAAACAGAAGATGTGCGCTATAACATCTTTGAAACTGTATTCTGGCGTTTTGGAATTTAGGGTTACAAATGAGTTATAGTGTCCTAACAACTCCGTTTGCAGGGAACTGTAAACCTTGACTTGCAGGGAAGAAAAATGGACTGAGGTTTAAGGGGGCATTTTAATGAAATTTTAATACTACTTCTAAATACTAGTAAAATAGGAAACAGTATTTAATCTCCTGCATGTTAGCATGTACACTTGTAACTCGCAGGGGTGCGTTCCTAATGAAGATGTGTGTACGGTCATCATGTAGTGTTCCTTAGAATGCCTGTGTATTACAACTGGAAGGTGAAGAATTGGGCCGTCGAGTGGAATTGTGGAGTGTTATCAGGTGTCCTGACTTCCGAGTAGAATTACTTCTGCTCTGGAAACAGAGGCGTAAGCCGTCAACCTGGGGTTGCTGTCTTCGGATTCGCACTTTGCGTGGTGTTTGAAACCTCCAGTGTGTAGATCCTGCGCGCAGAGGGCCAGCCTCTTCCCATCTTCTAAGTCTTGGTAGGTGTCTAATGACAAGTACGTAGAAATCTTGAAACTTAATGAAGAAATACAGCTATTCAGTTCAGATTTTGAGAGTTACTGAGGAATCTTTGAGGAAATTTGTAATGTATAAGTGATAAGTAATAAAGGTTTTTAAGGTTTTTTATTTTAAAAAATTGTTTTATTATAACAACAGGTGAGAATGGATTTTTTATTAGTTTCAGGGGTAGAATCCAGTGATTCATCAGTTGCATATAACACCCAGTGGTCATTCCATCATTTGCCCTCCTTAATGCCTGTCATCCAGTTACCCCCTCCCCTCCCACAACCCTCAGTTTGTTCCTTATGATTAAGAGTCTCTTACGGTTTGCCTCCCTCTCTGCTTTTATCTTATTTTATTTGTCCTTCCCTTCCCTTATGTTCCGTCTACTTTGTTTATTAAATTCCACATATGAAGGGCGCCTGGGTGGCTCAGTGGGTTAAGCCTCTGCCTTCGGCCCAGGTCTTGATCCCAGGGTCCTGGGATCGAGCCCTGCATCAGGCTCTCTGTTCATCGGGGAGCCTGCTTCCTCCTCTCTCTCTCTCTGCCTGCCTCTCTGCCTACTTGTGATCTCTGTCTGTCAAATAAATAAATAAAATCTTCCACATATGAGTGAAAAAATATTCCACATACGAGTGAAATCATGGCATTTGTCTTTCTCTGAAGTTTTATTTTAAGTTAATTTCAGTTTTTTAGAGATGCAATGCGTGGGTGCGGAGGGAGAGGGAGTGGGAAAGAGAAGCTCAAGCAGGCTCCACGCCCAGTGCAGAGCCTGACCTCTCGGCTCTGAGATCATGACCTGAACTAAAATCAAGAGTCAGGCACTTAACTGACTGGGTCACCCAGTTTCCCTGTTTTTAAGTTTTAGAAGAAGAGCTTCTGGCTCTTATTTCCTTTTTGCCATAGTGGTTGCATGGGACAAGAGTAAAGACCTTCACTGTAGGTCTTTAATTTTCCCTTGATTATGTTTATAGTTTGATTAGTTTCCTCTATGAAATCCTGGACTTCAATTTAAACTTGGAAATACCCTGCTTTGCATCTGTATTTCTTTAAGCTGTATTTTAATGCAAATTTCATCCCATTCTAAATAGAACATATGAAGCACTTTGAAATTTCTACAAATACAAGTAAATGAGATGAATTTGCTATCTCTTATCTTTGTTACATAAAAATACTTTTACATGCGTTAAATATTTTTTTTAATGGCTTAAATATAATGGCTAGTGTTACAGTTGGATGGAGCTGATGTTGGAAGTCCCAGCCTATTGGCAGTGGGTGGACTTTGGTGGCTCTGTGCTCTGACCCCCACATGGCCTGCCAACCAGGTGGGAAGCCTGGAGCTTGCAGCTGGTGTAGGCACGCCTCTGGGACATGGACCTTAGTGTGGGTTTCCCAATTTGCAGTCCAGGGCACCTTCCTTTACCCTGCCACTGTACTTCCTGTGTAAGGAAGAGAATTAATCCTTTCTAGCCGTCTTGACTCTCCTCATTTGTGATTTTTCTCGTTAGGAAGGCAGCATTACCTTCATCCACGTGAACTCCCAAAGCAGTTGGCACAGGGATCCCCGGCCCGAGGTGTGAGTGGGGAGGGCTCTACCGAACAAATTTAATACGCTCAGGCCGAAGTAGTGGGGCCGAACATCTCAAGATCCATTTTGGTTTGATACATAATGGCTCCTCCACATGGAATGTTTGTATAACATGGGAATGACTTAAACAGATGTTTTGAATAAGATCTAAATTTGGGGGAGATATTGGGATTGCATAATAAAAATTAAGTTAACATAATTTAGACTTGTAAGTAGCTATTTGAAATGCCTGGTGACATTGACTGCATGGCATGGGATGGGACAGTTGAAACCATTAAACCTAACATGCCAGCCTTACCTCTTCTCTGCTAAAACCTGGTCCATTGACATTTGGATGTCGGAGTGAACAGCAGTGTCTCTTTGTGTGTGACACAGTGTGTGTGTTAAATCTAGACTTCAAGTAACTAAGGTGGCATTGGAGTGAATGGGTTTCAAACAGGATGCCGCTGTGGGAGGCCCTTCAGAAGGTTTACGCTGTGCAGCGGACTGCCCGGGTGGACAGAGGCGGCCTCTGTTGCCCTTGCCCTGCCTCCGGTGCAGGGCCCGGTGCCCTTAGAAGTCTGTCTGTGCTGACGTCCGTGATGCTGGGTAAACACGGGAGCAAACGGGACTGTTAATTCCAAACTGTATTAAGTATGGTGAAACTATCAAGTGCTTTTCTTGGTAAAGAGACAAAAAATATTTTTGAGACTAATAAAGTAAAAGGATTTTGCTGGAAGAAACCAAATAGAGATTTTTTTACCTTTTTTTTTTTTTAATCCCAAAGAAGATAAAATTGAAGGAAGTTTTGAAGGAGTTTGTGGGTTTTGTTTGTTTTTTTTAAACTCATGAAAACCTTGTAATCACATCACCCTAACTAGTCCCCATAAGATAACACCTTTTTGTCCCTGTCCCAAGTTTAAGTTTGGTTCTTAGCTTCTTGGAATGGTCCAGAATGACAGTGTGTTGGGGTTATCTTAAATTTGTGTGAAAAGTTCACACAAATGCTCTCTTAATAAGGATTTAGATCTTAGATTTGAAACCAGACGTGTTTTGAGAATCTGAACTACATACGGACTTAAAAATCTACCAGAGACAACTGGTTTTTAAAGACACATACTGACAATGAAGGTCGTGCGGCGGGATCTGAGAGATCTGTGTTGCGCGGTAGGTTTT